AAAAAAAAAAAAAAAAAAAAAAAAAAAAAAAAAAAAAAAAAAAAAAGAAAGAAAGAAAGAAAGAAAGAAAGAAAAGGGATTATTCAGTCAGTGTTAGCAATGTTAAGTCTGTCACTCGTGGCTGTGGCACTGCTGGGATCTGTCACTCAGGAGGAGCCTTGGCTGATGCTTCATGAGTCCCAGAGTCAAACAGTGTTTTTCTCCCCACTTTCTATTATTTATATGTAAAATAGGTCTCTGTGTCTGCAGGGCACCGGCTAGTTGCTACCGAAATGAGAAAGTCCATGAAACCCAGGAAAGGGGCCCTGGTCTGGCTGGAAGCTACTTAGGACTCAGAGTCATCAGAGTAAATAAAGGCCATCGATGGCCCTTCAACCACCCCATGGCTAAGCTCTGGTGGCTAGAACTGACAGACTGAGGGGGAGAGGGAGCAAGGTCGGGTGTGAGGAGCAATATAAAACAGGCAACGTGAGGGCTGGAGAGATGGCTCAGAGGTTCAGAGCACTGACTGCTCTTCCAGAGGTCCTGAGTTCAATTCCCAGCAACCACATGGTGGCTCACAACCATCTATGAGATCTGGCGCCCTCTTCTGGTGTGTGGGAAGCAGAATGTTGTACACATAATAAATAAATAAATTAATTAAAAAAAAAAAAACAGGCAACACGAGGGAGTTCTGGAGTCTTGGGGTTTGGGTCTATTTTTGTTTTGATCAGAAAAGTCAAAGATAAGAACAAAGCAGCTCACTCACCACTTGTCACTAGGCTGAGATGCAGAGCACCTGGCCTGCTCCAGGCTCCTGTGTTGTCACTTCCGGGAGTGACTCGGCTTCTCCACCCTCTCATCAACACTCTGGACCTCAGCTACTCCGGCTGACTGCCTACACAGGTGCCGTCTGCCAGCACCGTGACCGATAGCTTTTGTTTGTACTAATAAACCATGACCAGTGAACAGACCAAACATACCAGCAACATCAGACCTGTGGAACTTAGTTGTGGCCATAGAAAAGGAACCCTGGAGGCGGGGGTGTGGCAGGCACGCTGACTCCTTTAGTCACTTGGTGCACACCTCAAGGACCCCAGAGCCCCAGGTCCAGTGCAGTCTCTCCTGCCTCTGGTGACTGGCACAGCCTGTAACCCAGACCTACCTGTGACAAGCTTGCACCTGGACAGGTCTACACCCACGATTCTAAGGCTGATCTGGTCCCTATAGACTTTTCTCTTTATTTTTCAAGACAGGGTTTCACTAAGTAGCCCTCACTGCCTTGGAGCTCAGTCTGTAGACCAGGCTGGCCTCAAACTCAAAAGATCCTCCTGCTTCTGACTCCTGAGTGCTGGGATTAAAGGTGTGCACTGCCTTGCCAGGCCAGACCTTTCTTTCTACCTATGAGTTCTCTGCTTCTGAATTCTGCAACTCAGCTTTTCTGAGCCATTCTGAAACCTGTACATGTACAGATATTTAAAATAGTGTGGGAAATGTGCTCCGGGAGTTAATATTAGCCGTTACAATGGGCGCGCGAGAAAGGGGCTCTGGGTAAGGCGTGAGGAGGACACACAGGTCAGACCAGAAGAGAATCCAGGGAGATGGCTGAACAGATAACGGCTTGTTGCACAAGTGTGAAGGCCTGAGTTCAAACCCTAGAGCTCACATGAAAAGCTGGGTATGGTATTGGGGAGATAGAGAAAGGATCCCCAGAGCTGCCAGCCGAACCTGAGTCCCTAAGGTGACTTGGCAACTAAAAGCACTTGCCACACAGTCATGACAACCTGCGTTGAGTCCTTAGAAGCACAGTGGAAGGAGAGAACTGACCTCATGTACATGTGCACACACACACACACACACACAGTGGTGGGTTTCTTCAGACGAGGGGAGAATGGCTGATCCGCAGCACATGTGTCCCCCAGACATGCACATGCATACACTGCACATCCACCTGTGCAAAGAACTGCAGTGGCCATACTGTCAAGTTAAAACCAGGGTTACTTGGCATATTGCGGCCAATCCCCAGCTGTGTTGTGCAGATACAACGTGCCTGCCTTCGCTTCTCAAACAGCAGGCTCGCGACATCAGCTGGACGTGTAAAGACTTGGCTCTCAGATGAGACTGAGGCAGCCTGGGCTACAGAGAGACCCTGCCTGAAAAAAGCAAAACCTCAAGACAAAATAGATATTGAGCGGAGGATGCAGCCTAGCAACCAGCTTGTGCTCCCTATGCATAAGACCCCGGCCTTGAGAAAGAGCTTTAGTGTTCAGGCCTGCTCCCATCACCTGAGCCCTAACGCCCCTCCTCACCGTCTGATTTGTTTGCAGGTCGCACTGGTTTTCTCTTGCCCCAGTGTGTGGACACCACCACACGCCCTACAGACCAGCAACGGCTCTTGCGTGTATGTTCCAGTGTTTCTTCTGTCAGAGAGTCGGACAGAGCCATAGGTCCTCCAGTGCTGGCCCGGAGCTGAGGGACGAGCGCCCAGCAGACATGGTGAAAATGACCAAGTCCAAAACTTTCCAAGCTTATCTGCCACATTGTCACAGAACTTACAGCTGTATCCACTGCAGAGCCCATCTGGCCAATCATGATGAGCTCATCTCCAAGGCAAGTGATCTGGATCCAAAACCGAGGGAACAAGGCTTGCACACACCTTTAATCCCAGCACTGGGGAGCCGGGGGCAAGATGGTCTCTGTGAGTTCAAGGCCAGCCTGGCCTACAAAGTGAGACCCTGCCTCAAAAGGGGAAAAAAAAAAAAACCATAAGGTAACAGGCAGAACTGGTTGGGAAGGACATGGCTTTGGTGACTTGGTGACAACTGCTGTTTCCCACAATCTGTCACTTGAGCCAGCAGTGAAAGTCAGACACCACAGGCCATTTTTCTGCAGCATGCCGGGCATAGCCATCCTGGGAAGGGACACAAAACTTACCCACTACATCAGATATGTATTTCAAGTTGGAAGATGCCACACATGAAATTCTTAAAGTTGCACAGACTGCCAAGAGGTCTGAAACCTTCATGAGCTAGTGATGGGGAGGGTGACTTGAGTCTTGTGACCCTGTAACAAGATACCTAGAAAATCAGCTACTCAAGAAAAAGCATACCTGTTGATGATTTCAGAGATTGCTGTGCAAGGCCAGGTGCCCCTCCCGCGGTTGGAGCATGGGGCAGAGGAAGGGACCAGTATTCCAGTAACCCCCGAGGTCTGCCCGTGGTGACCTAATTTCCTTCCTCATGGTTCCCTCACCTGGCCGTCACAGCCATGGCACACTCTCTCGAATGGTCTCTCTGCTTAGGGTTTCGTGAAGCTGAGGGCACACTGTGAGAACAGATTCCAGCAGGTTGGGAACTAGAGCCACCTCCATGCGAGGTCACCAGTTCGTATTTGTCATTTAACAAGGAACCCGCTGGTCCTCAAAAGTGCCTCCCTTTGAAGAAAAGATGCTCTCACGCTGCAGCCCAGGCTGGCCTCGAACTCAGAGACCCACCTGCCTCTGTCTCCCGCGTGCTGGGATTAAAGGTGTGCGCCAGCACAGCTGGCCCTTCTACACTGTTGACTCTCGGGTGTACTCATGTTTCCGTTCACCTCAGATGACTTACGCTGCAGGAACTGTGCCCCCCATAAACTCTGACACGGAGGAAAGCCTGTGGAAAGCAGAGGACTTGGAAAGAGTTTAAGGCTGAGGGGTGTGTCAGAGTCTAGGATGAGGGTTGGCTAAACTGAAAAGGAGCACAGAATAATATTCTTGGTCCTAGAAAACCGCTTTAGGAGATACTCCTGAAATAAATGTGTGTGTATATATACATATATATATGGATAAGCCTGAAATCTATATTTTATTTATTTATTTTTCTCTGTGTATCCCTGACTGTCCTGGAATTCACTCTGTAGACCAGGCTGGCCTCAAATTCAGATTGACCTGCTACGCTGTCTCCCAAGTGGGATTAAAGACATTCACCACTAGACTGAAATCTGTATTTTAAAATCAAAACCTATCTGGGTGGGCTGGGACTTAGCTCAGTGGCAGAGTCCTTGTGTAGAGCCCAGTATAGTGAGATAGCCTGTAGCTCTCAGATCCCACACCCAGGGACCTGTCTCCTCCCAACACCAAGGTCACAGGAGCGTGCAGTCAGCTCAACTTTTTTTGAGGGGGAGGGGGTTGGGGGTTGAAACAGGGTTTCTTTATGTAGTCCTGGCTGTCCTAGAACTAGCTCTTTTTTTTTTTCCCCCCGAGATAGGGTTTCTCTGTGGTTTTGGAGCCTGTCCTGGAACTAGCTCTTGTAAACCAGGCTGGTCTCGAACTCACAAAGATCCGCCTGCCTCTGCCTCCCAGTGCTGGGATTAAAGGCGTGTGCCACCACTGCCTGGCTTGTCTTTAAAGGTATTACAAGCATGAGTCTTTTGCCTGGTGCCTGCTGAGGGTCAGAAAGGGCATTGAATCCCCTGAGACTGGAGTTACAGATGGTTGTGAGCCACCATTTGGGTGTTGGGATTCAAACCCAGACCCTCTACAAGTGCTCTTAACTGCTGTGCCAACTCTCCAGGCCCATGCTTGGCTTTTAACATCTTTCCAGACTTAAATGTGTGTCTGTTTGGGAATGTGGTACATCTGAGTATGGTGTCCTCAGAGGTCAGAAGTATTGGATCCCCTGGAGCTGGAGCTGCAGGGTTGCAAGCAGCCCAAGTGGGTGCTGGGAACCCAGCTCAGGTCCCCCTGCAAGAGCAGTTACGTGCTCTTAACTGCTGAGCCATCTCTTCAGTCCCCAGTCCCAGTCCCATCGTAGTCCCCTGTCGTGTCCCCCCCCCCCCATAGGTGGACTTCACTGTGCTGGGCCTTAATATCCCATGACTCAGCCTTCCAAGTAGCTGAGCTACAGGCACAGGATGTGACTTTGTTTTCTCTTTTTCTGAGACAGGGTCCAGCCACGTAGCCTGGCTGGCTTGGAACTCAGAATGTGAGCCATGCTTGCCTTAACCTATGGTGGCCATCCTGCCTCTGCTCCTAAGGGCTGGGATTACAGACAGGCATGCTGAGCTCAGGCCATGAGGTTTTTTTCTTTAATGACACTGGAAAAGTACAGAAATTTCCCCTTGCCTTCTACTACCTGAAGACAGTGAGGTGTCAGGAGTGTGTTGGGAGGGGTTAGAAGGCGGCTGGAGAGACGGCTCAGCAGTTACACACGCTCAGTCCTCTGCAGGCCTCAGGTGGGTTCCCAGCACCAGCTAGTATGGCAGCTCACAACTTCCTTCAACTCCAGTTCCAGATGATCAGATACCCTCTTCTGACTTCCAAGGGCTCATTCATGCACATGGTGTGCATCCTCACTCACACACACACACACACACAATCTGTGGACCTGGCCTTAGAGCCCCAGGGTGCAGTCCTGTAGTCTGGCAGACCTACCAGAGCTACTAGCTATGACTTCCTCTTCTCACTGTTGCCCGAGCCAACCTTGAAACCCAAGCTGAACCATTTCTCTTAAGTCTCTGTAACTGGGGCTGCAGGTAGTCCCAGTGTCCAGCCCTTGACAATTGCACAGTGATACTCCAACCTCTTTCTAGATGCAGAATTGTCTTTTGAAATTGGTGCTGGTGGTGGTGGTGGCACACACCTTTAATCCCAGCCCTCAGGAGGCAGAGGCAGGTGGATCTCTGAGTTCGAAGCCAGCCTGGTCTACAGAGCAAGTTCCAGGACAGCCAGGGCTACACAGAGACACCCTGTGTCGGGGGAAAAACAAACAAACAAACAAAAAAACCGGGGAAGCAGTGTCAGCCTTGTGCTTTGTAACTTCAGGAACTGCACTGTGGGGTGACTGCACCTGCTCCCCCAACAGCCCAGAAAGCAGAGCTTCTGGTGTCTTGCCTGCCCCTGCTAACACCTTCTTCTTCTTTGCAGTCCTTCCAGGGCAGCCAGGGGCGAGCCTACCTCTTCAACTCCGTGTAAGTACGTGTTGTCGCTCGTGCCGTGCGTGCGTGTCTGGCCCTTCCTCGGCCGCTCAGTGAGAGCGGGCTGTGTAACTGAGCTGTGCCAGTCAGTGCCTTCATCAGCTTGGAGGAATCGGGCCCCTGCATCTGTGCTTTGGAAAGCACCCTTGTGCCTGAGAGTTCAGCCTCCAAGCCTGACCCTTTAGGGTGCCCTGGGTGGGTTGGGGGTGGCTCAGTAGAATGCTTGCTCAGCACCTGTGAGGCCCTAGGTTTGATCCTCAACACCATAAAGAAAAAAAAATTAATTCCCTCTTGTGAAAGTGGGGATGGTGGCGCTGAAACGCCTGTGATGGTGTGGAGATTCTGTTTCTCGTGGCACTTGATGTGGGGGAAGGGAAAGGGGACTGGGCAAGGGGACCTCCAGCATAGTCACCCTGCTTCTTGACAGGGTGAATGTGGGCTGCGGCCCTGCTGAGGAGAGAGTCCTTCTGACCGGGCTGCATGCAGTGGCCGACATCTACTGTGAGAACTGCAAGACTACACTCGGGTGGAAATATGTGAGTACCTGGGCCTGAGAGGGTCGGACACTGTGGGTTCTCATGGGGACGTAGCTCAGCGCATAGTGCTTCAGAGGTATCCCCACAGCTTCATAAAATGTCACAGAGCCATGGCTCAGTGGGTAACAGCCTGGGTCTGACCCCAGGATCCACGTGATAGGAAGAAAGAACCAGCTCTTGCAACTTGAGTGCCACAGCAAGCAGGCACACACACACACACACACACACACACACACACACACACATGCATGCAGCAGGCACTCAGGAGGTGGAGGCACATGGATCAGTTCCTGAGATATAGGATCCTGTCTCAAACACAAGGATTGCAGGTTCCCAGCGGTTCCTTCCAACTGTGCAGGATGGAGCGCACCGTGTGCCTCTGTTGAGCACAAGGGCGTGGCAGTCCCCAGGTTCTCTTCCCAAGACCCCGCTTTCTCAGATCCCGAGCGAGGGTTGCCAGCCTGCCTGTCTCCAGCTTCTCTCCACGCATAAATTGATTGGCTACCAAAGCTGACAAGCTTGCCGCTGTTGGCTTTTGCCTTACTTCCAACCCAGGGCTCTGAACACCACCCTTCTACTGCAATGGCCAGACACTGTCTGCTGCCACCTTAGTCTCAAGAGCCACTTGGCTGCTGTGGTTCTGTGGACATGTTCTGGTCAGCTCTTTAATATCTACCTCTGTCTCAGCTTATCCCCTAATAGAAGCCACCTTGTGATGTTGCACCCTGCCTGGCACTCCAGAGACATGTTTGTGGTTTGTTTGCATCTGTGTGTGAAATGCACACTTTTGTATGCATGTTCTGTGTGTGTAAAGTGTACACTTCTGTATGCGTGTTCCTGTGTGTGTGTGAAGTGCACACTTCTATATGCATGTTCCTGTGTGAGAGATGATTGCACACTTCTGTTTGCATGTTCCCATGTGTGTGAGACACTGTAGTCTTTTGTATGCGTATTCCCATGTATGTGTGTGACATGCACACTTTTGCATGCATGTTCCTGTGTGTGTGATGTGCACACTTCTGTATGCATGTTCCCATGTATACACCTGGAAGCCAGAGGCTGATGTCTGGTGTCTCCCCAATCTCTGCTTAATTTGCTGAGGCAGATCTCTGAGTTCAAGGCCATCCTGGTGTAGAAAAGCTAGTTCCAGGACAGCTGGCCTACACACACACACACACACACACACACGACCCAGCCTTACCTGTGTGCCATTGACTGTTCTCATGACTCTCCTTCACGTCTCCTGAAACACTCACATACAATCAGTGCCAAGTGAGCAGTGTGTCTGTGGTGCTGAGGATGGAGCCCAGAGACACAGGCACACCAAACAGTGTACTGAGCTGCATCCCAGCCTCAGGAGATCTGCGTCAACACTGCTCATAAGTGTACCAACCCATGGATCCTCCTGGGCCTAGGTCAGTGCACAGTACAAAGAACGTCTGAGCGTAGATGATGCTCTAAACTCCCATTTACCAAGAGTGTAATAGAGTGAGAAAATGAAACTGTGTGTCCTGAAACCTTCTTTCTACTTTCCCCTCAAGGAACATGCCTTTGAGAGCAGTCAGAAATACAAAGAAGGAAAATTTATTATTGAACTTGCCCACATGATCAAAGACAATGGCTGGGAGTAGAGCGAAGCCCCCGCTCCTGTCTGCATACATTTTATCAACGCTAAGTGTGACGAAGACCTAGCTTCTGGTGACAATACTTCTGGAACTTTAACCTCACAGGCCAGCCCAGCTCAACACCTGAAGGCCTCTCTAGACTGTTCACTGGGTAAGGTGCCCCCATCCGAGCCCCTTCGTGTTCACTGTTGTTTCTGGAAGTTAGCATTCTTTTTCTAACTTCTCACATTCTAGAGAAAGAATTAAGCAACCACTGACTCACCTGCCTAGTTAATAACTCCGCACGCCTTCCACAGTCTGCCTGGGTTTCCACCAAAGCCAGGCCCCTAATGCACAGAAGCAGGGTCTCGTCCTGAAGTCTTCCAGAGTAGCCAACAGACTTACATGCAGAGCATATGGCTTCAAAAACAGAAACCAGCCACTGGTGACATCTTAGAGAAGCTAAGAAAACTTTTAGTGATTTTATTTAAGCTAAAAGCTACATCCCTGTCTCCTTACGGAGAAAGCAGGTGACTAGTGGCTAAGCATTCTGTCCCAGGTCACTGAGGTGACCCCCCTCAGTGCCACAGCAGCACAGCAGCTCGTATGTGGGGCTGGTCCCTGTCAGAACAGCAGCTGGGGTCCACTCTATACCCTGGATGTACTTGAAATAGTTATGCATACAGAGGCCAGAGCCAGCACAGAAAACTTCTGAACTTGAGACTTTCCATGATGAAGGAAACGTTATCTTAGTGTGGGAGCTGCCTTTCCTGCCTGGGATCACCTCCTGAGCTGACGGGGGATCTGGCCACTTCCCAAGCCCTGCGTCTCACAGACCTTAAGTCACAACTTGTAATCCTCCACGCATCTACAGGAGTGACCAGTTAGCAGAGGCCAGAACCATTCCCAGATAAGTTTTGCGGTTCAACTTTTTGTACCAAACACAGGGCAAAAGAGCAGGAAGAAGGTCCAGGAAGGCTGAGCGCCCAAGAGCTGGGAAGGCCCCAGCTGCTGCCTGGGGTGCTTAGTCGCTGCCTGGGGTGCTTAGTCCAAGAGCAGCGTCCAGTCCTCTGGGCTCCCAGCCCCAAACCTTCTAAACCCAGACCCTCTCGCCAGCACAGCGCCCTGCTCACTCCAAAGCTGACACTTTGGCACCATCTCTTTGCCCAAGATCGAAAGCCTAGTAACACAAGAAATGCCTGTGCAGTAGAAAACATGTTTGTACCATCTGTGAGCTGCTATGCCTGGTCCTGGTCGAAGCTGCTTTCTCCCCGACTATGGTTCCCTCCAGACTAATGGGCAATAGAAAACATGTTTGCATGGTCTGTGAGCTGCTATGCCTGGTCCTGGTCAAAGCTGCTTTCTCCCCGACTATGGTTCCCTCCAGACTAAGGTTGACCCAAAGCAAGGTTACACCACCAGTAAGGTAACCAGTGAAATGGAGCGCAGGCAGCTAGTCCGAGTCAAATCTAGCAGGGCCCAGGCTCCATCCTTGTCTAGAATGAACACTCGTCAGCAGTCTGCTCACAGTGGACACAGCACTAGTTTCAATACTCTTACAAGTGGGAACTTGGGAGAACAGATGTCACCATCAGATGCAAAGGTGAGAGCACCCTGAATATATACATTCATGCTTCACTTGAAGAACCTAGGATTTCTGACCAGTTTCTGTATATACTAAGATTATATTTACAGCTTTTTTTTTATGTTCTGGGCAAGCTTTCTGCCCTTCTACTTGAGCACTTTGTATTGTCTTTTGTGATAGCATTGATTGGAAAATTTTTGCTAGTACTCTTTATGACTTATTTTGTATGGGGGGGATAATGGATACCAACAAAACTTTTATGGAGTTTTTTGGATTTTGTGTTGGCCTTCTGTGAAATATAAACTTTTTAAATCAAAAGAACTGACCATGAGCTGGCTGCAGGGGAAGCGATGCAAGACCACAACCAGATGTGCTGGTGAGCTGCTAAACGTCACTTTCCAAACAGCATCATCTGTGACGATCTTACAACAGTGGGAGGTGATGCTGGGTCATAAATGCCACTCTACTTTAGAAATGTGGTTTATTTTGTTGCTGTCTTGTTAGCATAGACATATTTTTATACCTTAATGTTTATTCTTGATGGCATCTGCTGGATAGCTGAAAAGATCAGAAATGAGAATTTTTTTTCCTCTAAAAAGTCCTTTATTTTCTGATGACCTCAGGAGGCAGTTTTCAGAACCCAAGCGTCATTACTGTCTAAAAAGCTGCCATTTAAGCTCTATACAACCCGTGGAAATGTAAGCCCTGGTGGGTCCTGTCCTCTCTCCCAGAGGACAAGAGCGGAAGAGGACACAGCTGCCCCCTTGGACAAATGTAGGCTGCTGGGTAAGGCTGACCGGACAGCGACCTGGAAGCAACTGGGAGCTCGTTGTGAGTATCAGAGCCACCAAGCTCAAGCATACAAAGCACCCGTGGCTCCCCTGTCGCCTGGCCAAAGCTGCCAGCCCTTGGTGACGTCTGTGAGGGACAGAAACAGAGCTGCTGACGTCAGACAGCAAGGTCTGCAGTGCACTTGCCATCTCGGAGGTGAGGCCTCTCTGCAGAGGGATGACCACAACTTCTGCAGCATCCACTGAGAGCAAAGGACGTGCCAAGGCTCCAGAGCCCTTGAGGACCCAGGCTCCCGGGAGTGTGGCCTGAGGAAAGTGCGAGGAAACAGTCAGGCACTGCCTCTGTCGCACAGAGCCGCAGAGGAGCCCTGCTCTGCAGCCCTGGGCTTTTTCACTTTTTCTTTCAGACAAGGTCCCACCATCTGTCTGCCTCTCTTTCGTTTTTATTTTAGAGGACAGGATCTTGCTATGTGGCCTCAACTGGCCTAGAATGTGCAGTGATCCTTCCTCTTCCTAAGACTTCCTAAGTTACTACAGGTATCACTGTATCTGGTCCCGGCGTCATGACCTGTCATAATTGTGACGTATCAGCTTGCCTATAGCAGAGGAATCAAGAGAGGATCCTGGAAGAATGGAAGGACACCAGGGAGTCGGGACCTGAAGTGACACCCACAGGCAGGTGGCTTAGTGGGCCGGGCTGGAGTGTCACTGGCCTGTGAGCAGGGACCAGACCACATTCTCGCCTCAAGAGCCGGTGGTGAGCAGCATTTATGCCCTGAGATCATGCAAGAGCAGCTGGAAGTGGATGAGGGGAGACAGACTGTCTATCTCCCAGAAATAGAGAAGGCTTGGGCTGTGGTTTTAACATCAGAAATGAAAAGAAGTCCAGGCTACATTCTCAAGAACTTTAGGTATTTTGTGGACACAAGGTTTTGGGCAAGATAAGAAAAACAAAAAAAAACAAGAATCAACCCTAAGTTACAATTTAATGTGGCATCCCAAGGACAAGGGAGCCGTAGGCAGGCCAGAGAATATACGCCACGGCATGATGCAGCCTCCAGAGGACATAGTGCCCACACTTCTGAAGGGGCTGCTGGGGAAAGCTGGAAGTCAGCTCAGGTTCAAGATAGAAGGCAAAGTAATGACAAACGATGGCTAGAAGCTGTTCGGACACAGAAGAGCCGATGCCAAAGGCCTTTTCTCTTTTGGTTTTTTGAGACAGGGTTTCTCTACGTAATAGCTGTGGCTGTTCTGGATTAGCTCTCTGGACGAGGCTGGCCTTGAACTCACAGAGATCCGCCTGTCTCTGCCTCCTGAGTGCTGGGATTAAAGGTGTGCGCCACCACTGCCAAGCTGTAAAATCATTTTCAGGATCAAGAGACTGCCCAGGAATCAAAAGGAGTTGGTAAACCAGGCATGGCGCACATCTCTAATCCCAGCATTTGGGGAGGTAGGAACAGGTGGATCTGAGTTCGAGGCCAGCTTGACCTTACATAGTGAGTTTCAGGACAGCTAAGGGTACATACAGAGACCCTGTATCAAAAACACAAAATAAGTAGTTGGTGACGGCCAGTAGAAGGATCAGCAGGGATTCCTAAATCGCAGCACAAGCCACTGACTGGGCAGCTGAGCAGACAGGACATCAAGCATGCCTGCCCCAGACAAGGGCAGCGCGAGTGCTTACGGAAGTGCAGTCAACAGAAGGAAGCTCATGAGATCTGTCAGCCTGGGAGGGCAAACTCCACTTCAGGATCCAAACCAGGGTCTGAGAACCAGTCTCAATCTCCACATCTAAATTTCTTTTGAGAGAGTCTCCCTTTATAGCCCAGGTTAGCCCTGAGCACTCAACCTTCCTGCCCTGGCATTCATTCGGAATGAATGCTGGGATTATAGTGGTTCCCTGAGCATCTGCATTTTTTTAAAGAATACACTGGTGGTGGCACTAGCCAGGGAACTGTGAGCACATAGCCATCCTGGGGCAGAGATGGCTGGGGTGGGAGTAAAGGACACAGCCTTCCTCGCTAACCCAAGACAGGGCCATTGGCACCAGATGAGGGATCGAGAGGCCAGGGGTCCCAGGGGCCAAAACTGGACCCAGCCATAGGCAAGAGGTTTATTGGCTCAGAGCCAAATTTGACAAGGACAGACAGCTCAGAGACTGAAGCCTACAGCCACGCACCCTACCAGGATCCATGAGACCAGCCTGCTGCTACCAGGAACTGAAGTCCCCAAAGCCCCAGCTGGGCTTCTTCTTGGCCATGGGGACAGCTGTGCTGGTTGATGGTTCTTCCTCCGCTGCTCGCTTCCTGAGACACAAAGAAAACCACTCCAGTTGCCACAGAAGAGCTAGGCGCCCATGCTCAGCCCTCTGAGGACGCTCCACACATAGGCAGCTTTCCCTGCAGAGGCAACCTTGTCCTCTACAAAGTGCTACTCCCACTAAAGCATCCTGGCCCGCACAGGGCCTTTCTAGACCCTTAGCTCTAGTCTCTAGTCTGGTCTGTGGGTTTGGTTTGGTTTTTCGAGAAAGGGTTTCTTTGTGTAACTTTGGAGCCTGTTCTGAAACTCACTCTATAGACCAGGCTGGCCTCGAACTCCCAAGTGCTGGGATTAAAGGCGTGCGCCACCATCACCTGGTCGGCCTGTGCTATCACCCCCTAGGATCACTGTGAGAAGACGTCCCAGCATCAGAGACAGGAGAGAGGCCACCATCAAGCACACTCACGTGGCTGCTGGGTTGATGTACTTGCCCACCCCCTGGCGGTATGTCTGGGGGCCCTGGCTTCCAGGCTGGGGCTGGCTCGTCTTGACCTTGGCCTCTGGAACCACTTGTTGCTGTGTCTTCTTCCGCTCCTGGGCAATCTGGGGTTAGCAAAACTGTGTGAAGCGGAGTCCAGAGTGGGGTCCTCCTCACTCATCTAGAGCCTCGGGGTGTGTCCTCTTGTTCCCAACCAACAACCACATGACCTGTCTGGCACCTTTCTCACCTGGGCATCAGCCTCCTCATAGGGGTCCACAAACACCGTGGTTGCACATATGCGTATTTCCTCCTGGTGGCAGAAAGACTCTGTGAGCAGGCAGCAGACTTCCCCAGCCAGCACCCAGTAGGCAGTGGTCCTCTGTTCTCCAAGGTACATACCTTAGGACGGTCAGTTTTGGGGTCACTCTCCACATTCTCCATAGCTGTCAGCGTGTCAAAACCCCCAACAACCCTATAGTAGAGACACAGAGCTGGGTCTTTGTGTACCCTGAGCAGAGTACCATCCATAGCAGAGTCAAAATATACCAAAGAGAAGGACTGTAGACTAGTCACCAGGCAGGACAGGACAGGCCACAGCAGAGAAGGGGGCAGCCAGGTGTGCTGACTGAAGTCCTACCTTGGACAAAATCACAGTCCTTGTTTCCATACTTTGTTTCCCCCTCTTTGCTAAGGCAGGGTCTTACCAAGTCTAAGTGACTGAGGCTGGCCAGGAACTAATAATCCTTTGTACTCTATGTAACCCCTATAACTCTACAGTTGAATCATCGGCACGGACTGTCCTTTGTGGGACACACTAGGGGCTGAGGACAAAGGGGACTGCTTTAGACATCCAAAAAGGCGCCAGGGCACCCAGGTCTGTCTCCTTGGCTCTACAGGAGAGCCAACCTTTCCCCAGGAACACCCACAGTCCTCAGTGGGGACGGTGTGGGAATGCCCCGTCTAGGGAAAGGCAGTGAGGCCCGCACCGCACTGCAAACATGCATGACATCCACTCTTACCGTCCGAAGATGGTGTGCTTCTTATCCAGGTAAGCACAGGAGCGGAACGTGATGAAGCTGGAGAAAGCACAGGGAGATCAGGGAAGCAGCAAGCTGGCCACCCACCATGGCTCTTGTTCCTCTGTAGAAGCTACCTGCCTTTCCCAGGTAAATCCAGACTCCCTGGAGATAACCCAGAGTTTGGCTGCCAAAATCCCATGCCAGCCAAGTAGGAGAGACTGGAGGCTTGAGCTAACTATGAGATTATCTGCAAGAAGGCAGTGGTTAGGGGAGCCCTACCAAACAGGCCAGATATGTGTGCTATCTGGAGGAAGTCCTAGACTGAAGACTGTAAACACTGGAAGACATTAGACAAAAGGAGGATGGGTGAGAGGACTCACACCTGCAACCCTAGCACAGGTGCCTGAGCTCGAGACCAGCCTGAGGTACAGTGTGACCTTACCTCTAAATAAATATAGCAGAAAACAGGAAGTGTATGGGATGGGTCCCTACAAAGTCACAGGTGGACTAGGGCCTACTGTGACAACAGGATATGAGCCTCATTCACAGTCCACACCCATGCACAGTGCTGCCCCCGGAACAAGGACTCGCTTATGGCTCCGAGCATGACTGAACTGATCCCACTGCCTCCATCTCCAGGTGTGTGCCACCGTCAGCAAGATCTTGTGAGTTTCTAACATAATAAAGGAAGCTAGAAAAAGAATGAAATAAACCTGAAGAAAATAACAGGAAAGTAAAAAATAGCAAAAGGGAAAACAAACATGCAACGGAAATATTTAGATTTTGAAAAGACTAAGGAAATGCTGAGAAAAAAAAAAAGAATGCTGACAAATGGGGCTGGAGAGATGGCTCTGAGGTTAAGGTTCAAAGCCAGCCTGGTCTACATAGTGAGTTCTACAAGAGCCAGAACTACTTAATGAAACCCTGTCTCAAAATATGTTTTAAAAAAGAAAAAACTATACTCAAAAAAAGATATACACAGGCTGGAGGCCATTTTCAATGGTAGAACATGTATTTAGCACACACAAAGCTCTAGGTTCACAGCACAAAAAGAAAAAGTATATGTGTAATATATACACACACACATATTTCCAGGAGAGTTAAGCCATATTCTTAGATGAAGAAGAGAATATAATACACACCTATTCTATTCCAAAACGTGACCAGACATCCAAGAGCCTTACCACCCACCACTACCTAGCACCTCTCCCTGGCCACTTGTCCTCAGAATAATACCTCCTCCCAAAGCACTGGACCAGTAAACCCTGCATGGCGCCTGGCACCTATACACTCCTGGTTCTGCCTGTCATACCCCGAGAGGAATGCAGTTCTACCAGCTGACTTGGCACCTTTCCTGGAGGGCTGGTGCTCGGTCTGGCTGTACACTACCTTGTGTCCACTTGACCTGGACACAGCACAACTTTTAGGGAGCACTCCAGGCATTCTGAAAACCACCCCAGCAGCCGAGCAAGAACAGCTGGACTCACAACTGAGACTTGTTGGTGTTGGGCCCCGAGTTGGCCATGCTGAGCACCCCACGGCCTGTGTGGGAGAGGTTGGGGCGGAACTCATCTTTGAAAGGCTTGCCCCAGTAGGATTCTCCACCTGGAACAGAAGAGCACAGTCAGAGGTCAGTCAGAACCTATTCCAGGAGCATCAGAGAAAGCCCCGGACCCTGGGGCACCTCTCTGGATGACCCCTAGATCCTAGCACCTTCATCACCCTTGTGGGCCAGGGGCTACAAGGCCAAAGCTACAAGCATCATTCAAACGTGGGTAGAAGTCATAGTTGGCCCATGTAGCTGAAAGCTTGGGGGAAATGTTATGCCCTGTAGGAGCCATGGGGCCACCTTATGTGACGGGAGGGCATGAGCAAACCTCCTGTCAGTGAGCAGGTGACACCTTCCTCTGCCTTGTTATGGTAGGACCCTGGGGCTGAGCAGAGCAGAAATGGGGGAAACTAAAAGGCATGCCCAAGGTGGCCCAGAAGGACAGACACTGTGGCAAGCCACCCCCAAATCTGAGATTCCACATCCAGAGCTCTTCAGGCCCAACTCCCCACCAGGCCCCATGTATCACTCTGATGGAACAGGCCTGGTACCAGCACCTACCTGTGCCTGTACCTGTGGGGTCACCGCCCTGGATCTGCAGAAACAAAACCCAGTGAGGTCACTGGCTCTGATGCTCCCTCTGCCCAATGGCATGTGCTGTGCTGAGGATGGGGACCTCCTCTCCCACCCCAGGTCTTCTGGGCTATCTATAGGATCCCTGGCACAAGATACACCCAAAGACCCTACCCTGGCCACACATAGCCTGAACCAGGTGTCAGGGACAGGGCAGGCACAAGCCCATTTGGTTCATGGGTGGCACCCATGCCACCAAGCATCTATGGGCAGCACCAGCTTGTTCCACTCACCACAAAGTTCCTGATGGACCTATGAAAGATGGTGCCATCATAATACTGTTTCTTGCAGAGCTTGATGAAGTTTTCACAAGTTTTTGGTGTCTGCAAAATATCCCAATATTCTATAAGGCACAGTGGTCAACAGACACAAAAGTCATCACAAGAGCGAGCTACCTGTCTGCAGACGGTGGTTCAGTCTGCCCTCCAAAAACTAAGTCAGAGTCCTGCAGCCATATAACACATGGCAGAACATGGGAGAGCCAGGTCCTAGTCCTTAGATTTGCACACACACCTAGCAGCACCCAAGGAGGCATGCTACGTTGACATGGCAGAACATGGGAGAGCCAGGTCCTAGTCCTTAGATTTGCACAGACACCTAGCAGCACCCAAGGAGGCATGCTATGTTGTTGAAACTCCAGGAAAGGAAGTCAGAGCACTTTGGTTCTCAGCAGGAGTCAGGCAAGACCTCTTAGAAGCAAACTAACTATAGCCCTACATTTAAGATGTCTTAAATACCCAAATACCCCAGCAACCACCTGGGAACAGCCACATACTCACCAGGTCACAGTGCAGCTCTAGGTTAAGGTCGCCCTTGTTGGTGTGCAGCCTCACATAGCCCTTCTTCTTCACAAACTGGTAGCGTAGAATATCCTCGTCAATGACAGCTGCAAACAAGTTCTGAGCTCGGCACTTGCCCTGTACCTGAGGTAGCTCCTCCATTCAGGCTCCATGGCATGTCACACAACATCAGCACCAAGGAGCCTTCCCCAGTCAGGAGCACCCCAGCTCTGAGATCATATCAAGGACAATATGATGCTAGAGGCTCTAGGGGCCTGAGAGCAGGGTACTTCCAGACAAGGGCCAAGACCATAAGCTGAGAATGCTTCTGACTCAAAGCCTACCTTCCAAGAACACCCACCACAACCACCAACCACCAGAGACTGCAAGTAAAGGCACAGTGGGGATGCTGGGAAGCCCTACTTGCTCCCAGTGTCGATTCTGTCCCAGTGAACTGAGGAAGTAGAGGTGGCTACCTGCTTCATGCGTGGTCTCGGGTACCATGGCAGTGGAGGTGAAGGACGCACTGACCTTTCCTGTGGAATAGTGGGCCTGCAAGAAAACCATGTGCTCAGACCCGATACCTCTCCTCAAGGACAACCTCTGACCACCACACAGCCACAGGGAGAGTCGGCAAAGATCAGAGGACGAGATTACTGACACCAAGAGAACAGCTGAAGGCGTAGTGGAATCAAGAGCCCAAGGCCTCAAACAAACTGAAACTAACAATATTAAGTCAAGATGGGAAGACCCTCACAGGTACAGCATCTTCTCCCATGACAGGAATACAAAGGCACTTCTAAGTTTATTTCTAAAGGTTTCTCTTCTGTTTTTTAAGGTACAGCTTCTGTGTAGCCCAGGCTGTTTTAGAGCTCAGAGACTTGTCTGCCTCTGCCTCCCGAGTGCTGAAATTAAAGGCCTGCGCCACCACACCCAGCTGGTTTCTTTAGGGGGGAAAATGGTCATGTTATCGGGTGTGGTGGTGCACACCTTTTGTCCCAGCACTCTGGAGGCAGAGGCAGACAGCACTATCTGAATTTGAGGTCAGACTGGTCTACAGAGTTCCAGGTCAGAAACCCTGTATGAATAAGCAAAGACAACAAAATGACTATGTGTCTGAGTGTTTTGCTTGCATGCATATCTTTGCAACACATGCATGCCTGAACCCTCAGAAGTCAGAAGAGGAAGTCAGATCCCCTGGATGGTTGTGAGCTGTCATGTAGGTGCTGGGAACCAAACCTAGGTTCTCAATAAAAACAAGTGCCAGCCGGGTGGTGGTGGCGCACGCCTTTAATCCCAGCACTCGGGAGGCAGAAGCAGGCAGATCTCTGTGAGTTTGAGGCTAGCCTGGTCTACAAGAGCTAGTTCCAGGACAGGAACCAAAAGCTATGGAGAAACCCTGTCTCGAAAAA